GTCATTTTCTACATTGTCTGATAATTGTTTTCCTTCAGCAAGTATCCACTCTCTCTACTCTGATGTAGCACTTACATTCATAGGCAGAGTAATATGACAAAGAAAGAAGGGGATAGAAATTAAAAATGAAGGTAAGAAATTATCCTTATTTGTGGATACTGTGATCTTGTGCTTAAAACACCCTCAAGACTGCACCCAAAACTCTGGATCTGATAAATACTATCAAGATATAAATATCAACTCACAAAATGCATAGCTTTTCTATACATCAGTAACAAACTTGCTGAGAAAGAAATCAAGATAATTATCCTATTCACAATAGCCTCAGAAAATACCCAGGAATAAACTTAACTACAATAAAACCTATAAAACATTAATGATAGAAATTGAAGAAAATAATTCTAAAGATTTTCTATGTTCATGGATTAGCAAAATCAATATTATGAAATGACTACTACCAAAAGCAATCTACACATTCAGTGCAATTCCAACAAAATAGCAGTGGCATTCTTCAAAAAAAAAAAATAAGAAAGAAATCCTGAAATTCATATGTGTATACAATAGATCCTAAATGGCTAAAGCAATCTGGAGCAAAAAAAAAAAGCAATGCTGAGTGAATTATAATACCATAGTTCAAATTATACTAGAGAGCTATAGTAACATGAATAGCATGGTACTGGCACAGGACCAATGGAAAAGGAAAGAAGACTAGAAGTCCACACAGCTATAGCCATATGGTTACTGACAGTGTTTCCAAAAACATATATTGGAGAAAACAAGAGGACATAACAATCCTAAACATACATGCACTAAATGCTGGCACTCCCAACTTCATCAAATAAATACCAAATGACCTACAATCATACATAGATCCAGATATATTGAGTGTTGGCAACTTCAGCACACCATTATCACTTTTGGATAGATCATCTAGGTAAAAACTCAGCAAAGAAACCTCAGAGCTAAATAACTACATTGACCAGCTAAACCTGACACATGTCTACAGAATATTCTACCAGCAGTATCACATTATACATTCTTCTCAACAGTCCATGGAGCATTCTTCTAGGACCATATCCTAGGTAACAAATCAAGTATCTACAAATTCAAGGAAATCAAAGTTACCCCTATGCCCTGTCAGACCACAATGCTGATGCACATGCAGAAAACTGAAGCTAGATCCTTAACATATCACCTTGCACAAGCATTGATGCATAATGGGTCAAAGACCTCAATGTAAGACATGAAACCATGAAACTGTTACCAGAAGAAGTAGGAGAAACACTAGGGCTCCTTAGCACAGGGAGAAACTTTCTGAGTAAAGATCCAAAAAGAAAACAAATTAAAGAAAGACTTGATAAATGGGATTGCATCAAAAGTTTTTATGCAGGAATAGACATAGCCAATAAGCCACAAAGCCTATAGAATGGGAGATTTTTGCCAGCTATATATCAGGCATGAGCCTAATATCCAGAATATACACAGAGCTTAAAAACACAGCAAAGAGCAAACCACCCAATGACCTAAAGAAAGATTTCTCAGAAGAAAAAGTAAAAATGGCCAATAGATAAAAATGCTCAGTATCTCTGGCCATAAAGGAGATATAAATCAAAACAACACTGTGATTCCACCTCATCCCAGTTGACCATTATCAACAAAGCAAGCAATAATAGATACTGGTTACAGGTAGACCCATTGCAACAATGAGATGTACAAGTCGTTATATCGAAAAACGAACTTTACAACTTTCGTGGGGGGGGGAGGATTAGTTGGGGGGAGGGGAGGTGTATGGGAAGGGATGGGAAGGGGAAACAAAGAGGAGGCAATGATGCTTGATAAGAAATGTACTCGTTATCTTGCCCATGTAATTGTAACTCCTCTGTATGCTATTCTCACAATAAAAAAAATAATAGATACTGGTGAGGATGTGGTAAAAAAAAAAAAGGAACCCTTATTACCCTGTTGGTGGTATGGTAAGCTTGTTTGGTCTGGAAAGCAATAAGGAGATTCCTAAAAAAACTAAAATTTCCCTGTGACCTAGCAATTCCATTTCTGGTATTTATCCAAAAGATCACAAACTAGGTTACACTAAAGCCACCAGCACAACCATGTTCATTGCAGCACTATTCACCATAGTCAAAGCATGGAATCAGCCCTGATACCCATTAATGGATGAATGGATCAAAATGGAATTTTACTGATATTGTATCATTTTAAAAAAAACAAAATGGAAAGACTTGGAAAAAATTATAGTAAGTGAAGTATGTCAGGCCCAGAGAAACAAATGTTACATGACTTCATCCATATGTGGAAGCTAGAATTGTCCTATAAACCTTTAAAGAGGTTGGGTGCTTTGCAAGTGCTTACAAATGTATTAACTGAAATATGGTTGAGGCAAGAGAGAATTTAAATAGTGTAATTCCTTATAAAAGCCAAGTCAAAGCCCAACAAAATAAGCACTAGGAAATGGGTGCTTGCAAAATGTGGGGTGGGGCAAAGACAAGAGGAGTAGATGGAAGAAGATGAAAGGCAAGTGAGAATGTAAGGAAAGGGAAAAAGTAAGGGAAGAATGTGTCAGAAAGGGTGGGTCAGAATGTTGAAAGAATGACACATCATAAAGTGCTTTGTTAAATGGCAATATATATTCTCAAACATATACATAAATATATACATCATGTGTGTGTGTGTGTGTGTGTGTGTGTGTGTGTGTGTGTGTGTGCATGTGCGTGTGTGTGTGTGGCTTCTTCTACAAATGATTCTGGAAAAAAAAAAAAAGACTTAAACTAGGTTCCTTTCACCCTATACAAAGATCAATTAAAATATAAGATCTTGAACTTTGAAACTGCTACAGGAAGCCAGGGGAAACACATGAAGATAGAAAGGCAGTTAATAGAAGTTGTTGTTTAGAAGACAACAATGTTCTGATTAGGACTATAATAAATTAGAAACCAAGAATAAGAACTGACAAATGGGATTATATCAAATCGAAAATGCTCTGCACATCAAAGGAAACAATTGCAAGAATGAGGAGACAACCTAGAGAATGGAAGAAAATCTTGGCCAACTATTTATCTCATAAGTGATATATGTATGTATGTATGTATCTATCTATCCACATAGATATACACTCTATTCACAACAGTGTATTATTCACTCATAAAGAGGAATAAAATTATATAATTTTCAGGAAAATGGATGCATGCAACTAGATATCATGTTTACAAACCATTCCAGTGAAACATGTAATTTTTTAAGGCAAAGGAAACATTTGAGTCCTACGTAATAGTTTCTGCAATTTGACAAAATACTGTGCAAATTCACTGACAGATACTAGAGAAGTGAAACTTGTTGATAATAACAATGCTTGATAAGAAATGTACTCATTACATTGCTCATGTAACAGTAACACCTATGTACAGTATTTTCACAATAAAAAAACTTATGTTAAAAGTCTTTATTTTTGTGTCCTATGCCCCAGACCTGTTTACACTTTGGGAAATTGATAGGAGTAAAACTGTATACATTTCAATTTCTCTATAGAAATTATATCAGATCATTTAATGAAAGTTTAAATAACAAATTCAGTGCAATGATTGGAACGTTTCAGACAGTTTGATAACAACTAAAAATAATGATTAAAGTCTCTTTAACTAATTTAGATAGTAGGCCAGGTGTATATGTGTTTGCTTTTCTTTTAAATGTTGTATTGAAATATTGAACCATCTGTTATTGTGCATAAACATTTTCCTAGGATTCAAGTGGGATTATGGAATATAATATGGTTTTATGATTATTATGGGATGAGCAGACTGCTTGTGATAAAATCTTACTTTAGGGGCCTTTTAATGATGTCTATAAGGAAATCATTCCAGGCTTTAGTTTGGCAAAACATCTCTTCTCAGATCCAATGATTTTGTATTTTTTTCTTTTTACAAATGTTGGTCTGGCTAATTTTAAGTAGCAAACTCTTAAATTAGATGAAACTTTATCAAGTTTTGTACTTATACAGACTGTAATTCATTTTCTGAATTATGTCAGCTCATTTCTAATTGTTTTTCACTAATATCAAATGGCACTGTTTGTTGAAATGTTTGTCCACTGTCAGAATAATGCTTTATCTATGTTTAATAAATATTACCTGTCCATATTTAGAATATCAAAATATTAGCTAGCAATGGAATATTTATTAGTCAATCAAATGGAATAACTGCATCCCAGAACATTTCAGGACTTTCTAGGTATAAATTTGTGAGCAGAATTTAAAGACTTACAGTTCATGTGTCAAAAGGTTTTGTTTTTTTTTTGAAAAGAAGAACTTTCATGATTATACACTTTTCCTCCTGATACACTTAAGTGGCGCTGCATATTTTTATCAAGTGCACTACCTTGTCACTAGGAGGTAATGGCAGACGGAGTGGAAAGCAGGCTCATAATACCATCAAAGGGTTATCCAAACTTATTTTCATATTCTTCTGTTGAGATACCAACTCTGTTGGATTCCCCTCTTGATAATCACAGATTATTTAACAAATATAAAGCCAGGCACTGTTGGCTCAGGCCTGTAATCCTGTCTACTCAGGAGTCTGTGATCTGAAAATCACAGAAATCAGTCGAGTCAGGAAAAAGACCATGTGATTCTTGTCTCCAAAGAACCAGAAGTAGAGATGTAGTTCAAGTAGTAGAGTGTTAATCTTGAGCAAAAAAACTAACAGTGCCTAGACCCTGAGTTCAAGATCAAGTCCTAGCATAAAGAAAGAAAGAAGAAAGGAAGGAAGAAAGGAAGGACGGAAGGAAGGAAGGAAGGAGAGAAAGAAATGTGATGGATAGCTCCCCAATTGCTTTCCAACTGCAATTTTAAATGACTTTGATTTACTATTTAAGTTTATAAATACATTTATAAAAGTTTTGATTTACATACAAACTACTTGTAGTAAGTTAATATAAATAAGTGGGGATAGACAAGGCTGGTGATCCTGACTGTTCTGTTTTCATCATTTCAGCACCATCCAGTAGAAAACCAGGTGACCCCCTTGTCATTTCAGATATCAAGAAAGGGAGTGTGGCACACAGGTAAGGCAAATGTATTTCTTAGTATATTCCAAACTATTCCTTAAAGTAAGCAAAAATTATCTCAAGATAGATGTTGGTAATATATCATACCCTCTCTTCTCTCATTTTCCAGGCAGCCATTACTAGTCAGTCATATTTGTTATCCCTAGCAGCAATGATTATATAGATCTTTCCTTTCTCTTTATTTCTATTTATTACCTCAGAGCAGGCAATAATTAGCTGAAAATATTTTGAGGGTCTTTCCAGAATTCAGCTTGGATGCTTCTTCACCAATCATCTCCATCTTCTATTTTCTAGGAAAAACCCAGAAAGTAGGCCTAGTTGTAAGAAGTACCTCTCAAAAACACCATAGCGTATGGGGCAGTTTTTTTAGATGATTCTCTGTCCACTTTGGGGCAAGCAAAATTCTTGACTCTATGGTAATGTGAACGTCTACTATTTTGCTCCTATATATCATCAAAATAACGGAGTTGAAACTTTTTATTTCACACATAAAAATTCCTTTTTTACTGAAATAACTGAAATAGCACTGTTATTTCAATATTACTGAAAGTATTCAATATTTCAATTTACTGAAAATCTTACTGAAATAAGACTTTCCTTTTATTCTTCAACTTAGGACTTAAAGATCCCATCTGTTGAATTCACTAAAAAAAATATTTTAACAATCAAAATTAGGAATGGCATTGTATGAGTTGAGTCAGGTATAAACTCAAATATAAGCTCAGCTGCTATAAGAAGAAACATAAATATTTTGGATTAAGTTAAGACTGATGTTTGAAATTGGATGGATATAGGGGGCCATGCTCTGGGCCACAGCCACAAGGGTACATGCATTTGGCGGATGGAACAAGATGTACAACTTTTGCTATGTCCCTTTCTACCCGCTCCCATGTTAGAGCCGATCTTGGTGGGCATTTTCTGTCCTTAACTTCTCCTCTGACCTAAATGTTGTGAACAATGATACCAAATATCCAAAGCCTGACACATTTATGGCCTGATGGAAGAGCAGACTCCAGGGCAAAGCATGACACAATAAACCAATGATTAACTGTTTCAAAATGGTAATTTGTATGTGAGAATGCTCAAATGTAAAAAGAAAAGAAAAAAGGATGGAGGTCATTTGGCTGCCAGGAGGAAAGCATACAATCCAGGATGGGTTAGTCATCATACCTGTTTGCCAATCACCAACATTTCTTGGCTATCAATGGAAGGTAGGAGGCAGGAAGTGATGCTGAGAGTCTGGAACATTCGTTCTAAGGGTGACCCAGAACAAGGAAGGGAGAATGGATACGGGGAAAGATTGGCAGTCTCTATCACAGACATATGTAAAGGACAGCCTTGAAGTCATGTATCTAGTTTACACATATGAACACATGGATACTACATTCTAATTATTTTTCTGATTGTACTATTGACCTTAAAAACTTTCAACAAATCTACACGGGTCCAGGGCCAGCGTTATACTCTGAGTCACTTTCCAAGTAAGTACATCAGACTTCTCTACACATTTTCCTCCTAATCCAGCCACGGTGAGTGTTCATGTACAGGTGAAAATGACACAGATTCCAAAACTCAGTTCTCCACTAAGTCCATCTCACCTTGACTCCCCCCAACCCTCTCCTAGTATCCAGTTGCAAATGATCTAAAGTGATGTGACAATATGAAGGATTACAAGGACACTCCCATGTCTACTAATCCCTGTCTGTGATCTACCTTCCCAGGAACCTTAACCTGAAGGCTTAGATGGATGTCCTGGCTTAATTGAAGGAAACATAAGAAAAAGTGTTTTTAATGCTCTATAACTTAATGTCGCCACAGTCATCTCAAAAAAGACTGGGTAGGGACATAAAGGGATGTTTGTCAGCAAAACATGATTTGAAAATAGTTGAAGCACCTCTGTTTATCTAAAGATCACCATAAAGCTGCCTTATACTTAATGCCTTTTTAAAGGGCTGACTTAAGTACTCATGGGTCACTTGTTTCTGTGCACTTCCTAACAGAACTGGGACCCTGGAACTTGGGGATAAACTGCTTGCCATAGATAATATCCGGTTGGACAACTGTTCCATGGAAGATGCGGTCCAGATCCTCCAGCAGTGCGAAGACCTGGTGAAGCTCAAGATCCGCAAAGATGAAGATAATTCAGGTATCGATAGCATCCTTGCTGAAGTCTGATTTTCCTCACTGCCCTGATGGCAAACAGATTCTGATGTTTTACACACAACAGCTGGCTAGTGACATTGCAGAAAGGTTTTACATAGTTGAGTCTTCAAATTGGATATTGAGAGGGTAGAATGAATTTTAAATAAAAGGGCTTTTAGGGGAGATAATTAAGATTCTTTCATTATGAGTATGATCAGAATTATATTAACATAAATTTAAGGATGAAAACCAAATCACCACTGCCCTACCCTAATGCAGTAGAAGTCATTTTCATATTGTTGTTGATATCAATATCATATAATTATAATAATAGTGGAATTTGCATTTTAACTTTATATTTTAAATTTTACCATTTTACAGCTACCTAACATCTGTCTTTGTTATTTGTAATAGCTTCATTGCAGATAGTAGTATCATGGTATTTCTAATGTATAAATATCTTTATTTAAATTTGCAGTTTTTTTAATTGTTTCCTCATGAAATATTTCTAAAAGTATAATTGCAGAATCAGAATGTAAAGGAAACTTTTGAGGCATTTTTTTCTGATGCTTCCCAAAAGAACTCTGTCTATTTGGGGAGCAACATGGCCTCCAGTAATATGTGAATACAGTAGATGTGGAGCAATGATTCTGACGCTAGTGGTTTTAGGATCACCTGGGGAGCTTATGAAAACATAGATTCTAGGTGCTGTCCCCAGGTGTATGATGTGAGATTCTGCATTTCTAACAAACTTCCAGTGATGCAAAGAGCAAAACCTTTAGTACCCTGGCAAAAGAAGCCCTTTTATTTGGTTATAGTAGCAGTGTGAAGCTATCTCGGAAAGGTCAATTGATTGAAAGAGTTAGCTAACATCAGGAGATTATAGAAAGTGATAAATATCCAGATTCTAAATATTTAGTTTAAAATTTTTCTGATCTTATGGGTAAAGCCAATGCCTTTCCTGGTTCCAATGGCTTGTGTCCATCTCTAATGCAAAATCCTTTCAGTCTGTTTCAAGTGTCATCAAATCCTCTACAGTTTCAGCAGTGCTCAGAAGTCCAAGTTCAAAGTCTCCTAAAACTCATGGCAGGTTCTTAGCTGTGAGCCCCTGGGTGAAAATAAGTTCCATACATTTGAGATACAATGGCACAGAGTAAATACTTCTATTACAAAAATGAACAGGAGCATAAAAAGGAGGGATGGGACCAAAACCTAACAGGGAAAACAATAAATTCTCTTCACCTTCTGGGTTAGGTGAGTTCCAAAGGGCTTAACCCCTGCATCCTGCTCTGCTGTATTCTACAAGACCTTCCTCCTAGAGTGGCTTTGCTTGCTGTTGTGACCATCCATACAGATGGGCCATGTTCCTGACATTTTTAACTTCCTAGGATCTCTGTTGCAGCTTTGCCTTCACCCTCACAGCTTCATGTATCAATCACCCTCCTGTGCTGCTCATGGGGATTCTAACCCAGCCTTGCCTGTCCTGGTGAAAATCTCCATGCTCTCATAATGCTTGGGTTGTACCTGACTGCAAAACCAACATTGCATGGGCAACATTGAGGACTGTAGCCAGCATGAACAGTGTCCAGGCCCATCTGGACCATGGCAGCAGTAGCTCCTGCGTACCCAGATGGCAGAACTTGGAGAAATACTTCTCTAAGCAGTTCTGTGTACACTGGGTTATCCTGGAACATCTTCTTAAATAAATGTCTTTGAGCCTGCCTTTGGTAAAATCCAACTAATCCATGAGCCCTCAAAACATGCTTCCTTTTATCCCTGATATAAAGTTTTGGCTTTGCTGTTGTTTTTTGTTTGTTTGTTTGTTTGTTGCCACTTCTGTGGCTTTGGACTCAAGGCCTGGGCACTGTCCCTGTGCTTCTTTTGCTCAAGGCTCTACCACTTGAACCACAGCTTCCGGCTTTTTCTGTTTATGTGGTACTGAGAAATCAAACCCAGGGCTTCATGCGTGGTAGGCAAGCGCTCTACCACTAAGCCATATCTCTATCCCTTAGCATTTTTTTAAAGATGCTAATGTCTTCACCAACCATGCCTTCCTTGGTTTCAAGTTTAAATGGACTCCTTTTTCTAGTCAAACTACAAGTTTTCCTAATCTTTCTGCTCACCATTTTTCCTTTTGATTCTCACTGTAAACCTACTTAAAAGCAGCCAGCAATCCTCCCTTTTCCCCCCCTTGCAACGCCTAAATGCTGGTCTGTCTGGAACTTTCCTCCAACAGCTTAATTAGTACATCAGCAATAAATGCAAACAAACAGTCTCAGGGCACAGACAAAATATAGACAAGTTTTTTTTTTTTTTTGCAAAATACATTATAAATGACCTCTAATCAAGGTCCAAAGAGAATGCTTGCATTCATCCACATTCCTTTGGCATTCTGGTCTTCTAAGATCCCATCATAATCATCCACTAGGTTCTGCTGACAGCATTCTAATTTTTTTTAACCTGAGTCTTTCAAAATCTTTCAGAATCTTTCAAATTCTTCCCTAAATCATTTACAGGGGCCTGAAAATGACCTTACTGCTTGGTGTCAATAGTCTATGTTAGCTTTCTGCCACTGTCACAAAATTTTTCCTTAAAACAATTTGAAGGAAGAAGGGTTTACTTTGTCTTAATTTTTCAGAGGTTTCAATCCACGCTCTGGTTTCTGGCCAGCTAGCCCTGTTATTTCTGGAGCGTGATGAGGCAGAACTTGTCAGTGCATTATTAATATGTTAGTAAAGTTAGTGAACTCATGATCCTATCACATTTCAGCACTCCAAACTGGGGATCTTATCTTCAATACCTGAGCCATTTGAGGGGTACTTCATATTCAAAGCATAATAATTTCTGGTTTCCTTTTGTTTTCTCCTTAAAATAAATGCATTTTAACTGATAGAGAACAACATTAAAATTGTGTGTGTGAAAAAGGCAATAAATTTAGATACCTGAATACTTTATAGAATGTTTAGATCATGTTAAAAATAACTATCTCCTCAAATAAAATTTCTTTATTGTGAGAGCTTCCCAAGTTATTTGAGATCTCTGAAATAAACAATACATTATTGTTATCAACAGTCAGAACTTCTTTATTTATTTTTATTTTTTGTGAACACACTGTACAGAGGGGTTACAGTTACAATTTTTTGTCTTCTCTTTTTCGGTACTGGAGATCAAACCCAGGACATTCCACTTGCTAGACAAGCACTTTGCCATTGAATTACATCCCAGCCCTACAATTTTGTTTTAAACAACTTGAAGCTGTCTTATTGTTTACTCACCTTGATTTTTAATTTTTCCAATGTTGTAGCATTTTCCCTCTATGTAATTGACAGTAGATTTTTATCTAATGCATTTGGTTATGTTTTATACAATAACTATGGCTATTTTATACAATAACATAGCTGTTTCATAAAATATGTATGATTAATTAAATCACATAGTTACCATAACAAATATAATGGGCATGTGAACAGACACAGGAATTGTGTTAGTTACTTTCCTCATCACTGTGATCACATACCTAATATTAAAAACCTAAAGCGGGGAATACTTTAGCTCATGATTTCAGAGCTTTCATGGCAGGGAGAGCAAGGGTATGACAGAGCAGAGCAACCAGCATCATGGCAGTAAGAACATGTGGCAGAGGCTACTCATCTCATGGTGGACAGGAAGCAAAGAGAACAACACAGAAGCCCTAGAATAAGAGACAGCACCCAGTGACACAGCCCCAGTAACCAACTTCCTTTCAATAGGTTCCACTTCTTAAAGATAGAGAATCTCCAAAAATAGTGCCACCAGCTGGGAACCAAGAGCTCAATACACGACCCTGTCAGAGAGACATTTTTATATGCAAATCATAAGAACTGGTTCTAAGTTGTTGCATTTATAACTGAAGTAGGAACACATATATACAGAGGAGAAGAGAAAGAAACCTACTATTCAGGAATATTCTATGACATTGGTTTGTATATTTTACGATATAAGATAAAACAATTAGATGTGTAAGTCATGACTGTTTTTATGTATGCAAAACCATTTGGATTGAAATACATGTAGCATGAAATTGCATATTCATGAATTCATATATATGTTATGAATATATATGAATATGTAATTTCATCCCAGCTGCATTAGTCAGCTTTGTGTCACTGTGACAAATTACCTGAAAAATCAACTTAAAAAAAAGAAAGGTTTATTTTGGCTCATAGTTTCAGAGATTTCAGGGCAAAACTTTTACTTTATAGAATCAGGAAACAAAGTGGGGAAGGTCCCATTATCTATTTCATGTAAGTACATACTCCAAAAACCTATCAGTCTCCTACAGGCTCCACTTCCTAAAGGTTCTAAAGCCTAACGTGTCACAAAGTGGCACAAAGCATTAGCATATGTTCCTTTGGAGGTACTTAAGATCCAAATCATAATACCAACCAAAAATGAATTTTTATCAGTGGTCTGCACTCATTCCACAACCAAATCCTCTACATCTAGAGTTCATGGTCATATCATCTATGTCATGTGTTCATGATTTCTATTCAGTGTTTTAAAAGATCAATAGTGGACTGGGAAGGTGGCTCAGTCAGTAGTAGAGCGCTTGCCTTGCATGCATGAGGCCCTGGGCTCGACTCCTCAGCACCATATAAGCAGAAAAAGCCAGAAGTGACACTGTGGCAGTGGTGCTGTGGCTCAAGTGGTAGAGCACTCACCTTGAGCTAAAGAGCTCAGAGACAGTGCCCAGGCCCAGAGTTTAGGCCCCAGGATCAAAAAAAAAAAAAAGCTCCTACTCTCCCTGTCTCTTTCAAATCACATATCCAATGTTTCCCTAGTTGTAATTCCTAAGGTTCCCAAATAAAGTTCTTTTAAAAAATAGAAGATCAGTAGTTATACCCATTGAATAGTTAACAATGATTATATCCAATATTTATAACCAATGTTTAAAAGAATGCTCAGGTTTTTACTTATTATTTCCCAGCTAACTGATTTTTCAGTGCCAGTATTTGCATTCTTCTC